TATTCATCTACTGCCTTAAGTCATCTCGCTCATTTTAAATGCCTAAGAGGAATTCAATAAATGCTTGGTTTTGTGTTTAGTATAGAAAGAAAGCCAAGATTGAGGGTAAAATTACAATTAGAAGAAATAAACTCAGGACTCTCTTGCATAGTAGGGTGACTAGTTAACAGTAGCATATATTTCTAAATAACTAGGGAGTGGGGTAAATCTCAATTATAGAGTGCTTGCCTAGCATGCAGGAGGCATAAGTCAAGTGTAATTCACATATATCCTCTCCCCCCCAATAAAAAGATTTTATTCACCATAAAGTCTTTTTCACCATAAAGAAATGATAAATGTTCAGTGATAGATAAGCTAACAACCCTAATTTGATCATTATGAAATATATACATATATTGAAGCATCATATTGTACCGCATAAATTTGTGTAGTTATTATGTGGTGGTTAAATCTTCACATGTAGTTGTTTTAGGAAACTAATACTAGGATCTTATTTTCAATCCTCTTTTTTAAGCCTTAATAATTTGGTTAACATAATGCTGTGAAATCTGAATTTTGAGGAGTTTTGTTTTTGTTTGTTTGGGGACAGGGTCTCTTTTCATAGCCCAAAGTGTCCTCAAAACCAGGATCCTCTTGCCTTAGCCTTGTGATTAAAGGTGTGCACTACTACACCTGATGAAACCTGCAGTTAAAAGTAATACTTCTGGGATTCTTCCCATAGGAGCTTACCATTAATTTTTTACACCCCCCCCCATAGGGTCTTCGCTATGTAGATCTGGCTGGTCTTGAATTTACAGAGATTTGTCTGCCTCTGCCTCCCAAGAGTGCTGGGATTGATACCATCATGTCTTAAAGGAATGGCCACAGAACCATATAAAGGAAGTTGATACATTCAACTAGAAAATATATTTTTGGAGGGAAAGATAACAAACTTTGTCCTAACTGCCAGTAACAATTATTGTGTATGTCATTCTCACAGATGTGGTCTTTGAGGATGAGAAGTAAAGGCTTTGGTAAATTTTTAGGAGGCAATCTTCCAGCACCAAGTTAATTTAATAGAGACTAGATTATTAGTGTCAGCTGTCTTTGGAGAGAGATTGTTTTTGGATGCTCCAGTGGAATCTCCGGTACACTCTTTCTCCTCCAACCTTTTCTCCTTAATAAAAGTCTGCATGCCCCTCAGACAGGCCTGAACCCACTGTGTAACCTAAGTCGTCCTTAAGCTTCCGGTCCTCCTGCTTCTGGAATGCTGGGATGACAGGCATTCGTAATACCTACATCACTGTAAAAAATAGCCCACGGTAGGTGGAATTAATGCTTTGTGGAAATGACTCTGCTTTCTTTCACTTGCAGAAAGTGCTAGGTGGGGACAGTGTTGCTTGTGCACCAGTGTCACATTATCGGACTGTTAAAAATGTGGATTCCAGTGAGGAGAGTGTGGATTCAGATGAAGACTGCTCTCTTTGGAAACGGAAGCGACAGAAATGTCTTAACCCTCCTCCCAAACCAGAGCCTTTTCCGTTTGGCCAGAGCAGTCAGAAAACAGCTCTCAATGGAGGGAGGAAGGTGAACAATATTTGGGGTGCTGTGCTCCAGGAACAAAATCAAGATGCGGTGGCCATTGAACTTGGCATCCTGGGAATGGAAGGTACCCTTGACAGAAGCAGGCAGTCTGAGACCTACAATTATTTGCTTGCTAAGAAACTTAAGCGGGAGTCTCAAGAGTCCACAAAAGAATTAGACAAAGATCTAGATGAATATATGCATGGTGATAAAAAACCGGGGTCAAAGGAAGAAGAGAATGGGCAAGGTCATCTCAAACGGAAACGGCCTGTCAAAGACAGACTGGGCAACAGAGTAGAAATGAACTACAAAGGCCGCTATGAGATCACCGAAGATGACTCTCAAGAGAAAGTGGCTGATGAAATTGCTTTCAGGTAAGCACTTGTCCACATATCTTGTATTTACAGGAAGCAAAGTAGATGCTAAATGCATTCCTTTTTGACTGTTTTTTTTTTTTTTTTCTTTGATTATTTGTTCGTTTGGTTTTAGGGTCTCCCAATAGTCTTAGCTGCCTGGAGCTTGCTTTGTAGACCAGGATCTCCTCAAACTCACAGAGATCGACCTGCCTCTGCCTCTGCCTCTGCCTCTCAGAGCTGGGATTAAAGGTGTATGCTATACCTGGCTGAGGTTTTGTTTTGTTTTTCTTAAAGGAATTAACCCAGAGCATATTTGACTACGCTCGAATTTGTGTCTTTTTAAAGATAACGTTGAGCTGGACACGTAGCTCAGTTGGTACAGTGCTTGCCTAACATGCATGAGATCCCAAGTTCAATCCTTAACACCCCATAAACTGGGCAGAGTGTTGCATGCCTGTAATCACAGTACTAATGAGATGGAAGTTTAAAATCATTCTCAGCTACATAGGGAGCTTGATGCCAGCCTGGGCTAGATGAGATACAGTCTCAAAAGGAAAAAACAAACAAACAAACAAAAACCCAGAGGGGGCTGGCAAGATGGCTCAGCTGATTTAGGCTCTTGTCATCAAGCCTGGTGCCAGTTTAATCCTCGGTCCTATGTGGTACAAGTAGAGAACTGACTCCTGCAAGTTGTCCTCTGACCTCCACATTTCTGCCATGGTACACACACACCCACACAGATGGATGTAAAATTTTTAATGTTACTCTTAAGTTGAAAAATAACATAGCTATTATGTTAATATGACAGTCATTCATTTTCAGGTGTTGATTTTTTATGGAGACAAATTGCCCAGTTTTATGACCATTACTTTATTATTTATTACAACCTTTGCTTTTAAAATCTTTCTCTCCATCACCCAGTAAAATCTTTTGTGTCCTCATCGGTTTGTCCGTTTACTATTAATATCCTAATTCTCTTTCCCAGACAAGTATGCTTTTCTGCCCTAGTAAATTTGTCATACAGATGCAGCCGTGCAGTATCTGATTTGTAGTTTCCTTCCCCCCCAAGATAGTGTTTCTCTCCGTAGCTCTGTAGACCAAGTTGGCCTTGAACTCAAGAGATCCACCTGCCTCTGCCTCCTGAGTACTGGCATTTGCCACCATGCCTGGCTACTCTTTTCTTTTTGGTTTGTTTGTTTGTTTGTTTGTTTGAGGCAGGGTTTCACTGTGCAGCTCTACTGTCCTGGAAGGAGTTGTAGGGTAGAACAGGCTGCCCTCAGACTCACAGAGATCCACAGGGGTCACTGCTGCCCGCCTTCAGTTTTATTATGAACTATGTTGTAGCAGAAACTAATGCTTTTACACCCCCCTTTTTTTTTCTTTTTTGAGATTGAATTTTTTTATTTATTTATTTATTTATTTTTTTGGGGGGTTTTTCAAGACAGGGTTTCTCTGTGGCTTTGGAGGCTGTCCTGGAACTAGCTCTTGTAGACCAGGCTGGTCTCGAACTCACAGAGATCTGCTTGCCTCTGCCTCCCGAGTGCTGGGATTAAAGGTGTGCGCCACCAACACTCGGCTTAAATTAACTAACTTGTAAAAGAAAGAAATCACCACTATTGAAGAGGAAGGCAGGGCTCTGGACCCAAGTCCTAGGAACTTGCTGTGTAGACCATACTGGTCTCAGATTTACAAGAGAGCTGCTTGCTTCTGCCTCCCAGGTGCTGGGATTAAAGGCATGCGCCACTCGCTATGCCTAGCTATTTATTTTCTTAATTTGTAAATGAAAAGTGTCGCTTTTTTATTTGGATGTTTTGTTTGGTCTCCCACAGCTCAGGCCAGCCTCAAATTTACCTTGTAACAAGATGGGTTTTAAACTCTGATCCTCTTGCCTCTACCTCCCAAGGGCTGGGATTACAGGCACTCAACCACCATATTCTTGACACTGCAGTTTTATTGGATGTGTAGAGACTTACATATCTCTGGACTGGATGGGTAGTCTACATTTATTTATTATGAATAATGCTGTTAACAACCTTTGCTTGCAAATCCTTGACCATATTTTCATTTCTTTGGGGTAAATAGAATTGTTTGGCAGATACTAAATTGACAATTCATGCATTTTTTCACAGGCTCAGATTCTAATTAATGTTTATTAGCTCTAAGTCACTAGTATTTGAAAATAGTATGCCGTTAGGGAAACAAGTGTTTCAGGCAACACCAGTACTGGTTAGTTTTGGGTTTTGTTTTGTTTTTGTTGTTTTTGTTTGTTTGTTTTTCTTTTTAATAGTGAAGATATTTGGGGGCTGGAGGGATGGCTCATTAGTTAGGAGCATTAGGAGCACTGGCTGTTCTTCCAGAGGATCCAGATTCGATTCCCAGTACCCACGTGGCAGATCACAGCCATCTGTAACTCGAGTCACAGGCAATCCAGCACTCACTTTTGGCTTCTGTGGGCATTGTGTGCACATGGTGCACATGCACACATACAGGCAAAACACTCATACACAAAAAATAAAAATAGAATCTTTTTAAAAAGTAAAAAATCAGTCTGGTCTTCAAGTCTAATTACAGGGGATCTAGCATCCTCTTCTGGCCTCCTGGGTATCAAATGAGACATACATGCAAGCAGTACACTTATACATGGAAAACATTTAATAAGAAGTGTGGAGTTTATATTCTGAAGAAATGTAGAATTTATGAATCAGAGTCCCCCTAGGAAACTCAGGCCCAGTACACTTACCTGGCTTGCACAAGGTTATCAACTTTGTGAAGGTCGGACCTGAAGCTGAACCTTGGTCACTTGCTCCTCCTTTCAGGTGCCTTTCCCACAGTATTACATTGCCTCCTGTGAGGAGAAACCAAGGTCTGAGTCTGATTGGAAACTGAAAAGGCTTCTGCACTGTTTTTCTTATTTCTGGGAGCCATGGACCCTGTCTGACCCAGTTAGAAGAGCTACTCAAGCTCCCTGTATTTTATTTTTTGTTTTTTGAAACAGGGTATTACTATGTAGTCTTGCCTGTCCTGGAACTCAATGTGTAGACCAGGCTGGCCTCAACTCACAGAAATCTCCCTGTTTCTGCCTCCTGAGTGCTGGGACTCCTTGTGAAGCACTACTTCCGGCTACTCTGAAAAGTAGAATGAAAATAGTGTGTCTAACATTTGAAAGAATTGATGTGTGCAGATAAGGTAAGGCCATTAGGATTGAACTGTAAGAAATCATTTATAGATGTTGGAAGGTTAATTTGGAAGCATAATAACTGAAAACATACTATATGTCTGTTATTTGTTATTTGTCTTTACATTTAGAGTTGAATTCATTCACCTTGTTCTGCATCGATTATTTTGAGAACTACCATAATCCAGCAAGGCAAATGAAGAGCCTTAGTTTAAGAGTTGATGTGGAACTTGAGGTTAACATCCTTTTTTTGTGACTGAAGAGCAGGTTGTTCCATGTTAGTGACTCCACCGTTAATGGATGCAGATTTAGAAAAAGCAGGTGTTGTCAGTAAGACTGTTCTAGTTGAGAACTAGTCTTGGGGATTAAAGTAGATTTAACAAGTACTAAGTTGTTCTGTGTTCTCAACAGGTTACAGGAACCAAAGAAAGACCTGATAGCCCGAGTAGTGAGGATAATTGGGACCAAAAAAGCCATTGAACTTTTGATGGAAACTGCTGAAGTTGAGCAGAATGGTGGTCTTTTTATAATGGTAAGACTGCTTTACTGTTTCTAGATTTGGTTTGGGGGGTTTTGTTTGTTTGATTTTGGTTTTGGTTTTTTTGAAACAGCATTTCTCTGTGTAACCCTGGCTGTCAGGAACTCTCCCTGTAGACCAGGCTGGCCTCCAACTAACAGAAATCCACCTGCCTCTGTCTCCCAAGTGCTGGGATTAAAGGCATGTGACACCATCACCCAGCTGTATTTTTTTTTTTTAAAGAAAACTTTATGTTCCAGTGAGTTAATACTGTTCTACTGAATATGGAGATGTGAATTCAAGTGCACTTTTGATATATCCTCTTTGAATAATTATTGAAAGCTTGCTTTGTATTGAGAGCTATTGAGGTTGAAGACAAGAAAAACTCAGTTTATTGCAGTAATTATAAAGCCAGCCATGGTGACACATGCCTATAATCCCAGCACTTGAGAGGCAGAGACAGGAGGATTGCTGAGCTGGCCTACCTAGTAAGTTTAAGACTCACCAGCCTACATAATGAGACCCTTTCTCAAAAAAAATGAAATGACTTAGTGGATAAAGGGATTTGCTGCCAAGCTTGATGATCTGAGTTCATTCCTAGTTCCACTCATGGTGGAGCCATGGCATGGAACAGCCAGTCAGCTTCTGCAAGTTGTCTACTGACCTCCACATATATGCTGTGGCATTTCTTGAAAAAAATTAATGTAAAAATTTTAAGAGTAAGTAATAACTAAAGTGTATTAGCAAGTATATGCCCTAAGGGAAAAGAAATAGATCAAATGAAGGTGTAAGCAGAGAAGTGTAAACAAGTGGTCAGGGTGGAGATCTGAACAGGCTCAACAGGTGAAGCAGTACCTACTGCAAGAATAGGCAGGGTGTGTTACAGCATGGAAGATGTGAGAGATACCTGTTAGGGCCAGAAATGCTCAAAGTGAGCAAGAATTTGCCCTGGGTTCCAAGTTTGGCAGGATGCCAAGAATACTCAAGGTACATGGTATTTTTTAATGTGATCTTTTCAAAACTAAAAAATTATTTTTCTTTGTTTTTGAGATGGGGTTCTTGCTAAGTATCCTTGGCTGCCTTTAAACTCACTCTGTAGATCCAAGTAGCCTCAAACTCAGAGATCTACCTGCCTCTGAGTACTGGAATCAAAGCTGTGCCCCACATACCTGGCTCAAAATTAAAACGTAATGTAAGAAAATCCACATTGGACTAAATAAAAGGTGGGCTTCAACCTTGTACAGTTGACCTAAAATCTGTCGAGTATCCGATAGGTACAAGGGGGTCTTTGTGACTGAATAAAATCAATGAGAGACTAGGACATACGGTTACATACATACATAGTTACTTTCCTATTGCTGTGCTAAAACACCATGATCAAGGCAACCTATAAAAAACATTTAAATTGGGACTTAGCATTTCAGGTTAGAGTCTGAGAGTATAGTCACAGGTGGGTAAGGCACTGAAGCAGTAGCTAAGAGCTCACATATTAAGACATAGACATGAGACAGAGAGAGACACTGAGCCTGTGCTCAGTGTCCTCCAACAAGGCCCGCCATTTCTCCTAATTCTTCCCAAACAATTCCACTAGCTGGCACCAAGCATTCAAACATGAGCCTATGGGGCCATTCTCATTCAAACCATAAGACTAGAGAAGAACTGTGAGCAGTTCTCATGGGCAATAAATTGTGCTCAAATTTGACTTTTTACTTTTAATAAAATAGTTCTTAGAGGTCTTTAATGTGCGCATTGCATTCTAGCCAGACAGAGCTAATACAATGAATCAGAGTTTTGCCTCTTGCTCTGCGAGCTAGTGTCCTTCTCAAGGTATTCTTACATAGTACCACGTGTTTCGTATTTTTGTGCTTTATTTTCTGGTGGCTAGCTGGCCCTCCATGGGTAGTATGAGGGTACTGACTAGCACTTGTAAATTCAGGAGGACTGTGGCATGCCTTAAGGAAAAAATGATTCGCTAAGCTTCATTTAACAATGATTTATACTGCTTTTGGCCATTAGTCCAGTATTAATGAATCTGTATGTGTGTGCATGCATTTTGTTTGTTTGTTTGGTTTTTGATTTGTTGTTTTCACTTCAGTGGTTAATTAAAACCCAGTCTTGTGCAAAATATGCCCTATTTGTTAATTCAGTGTTTGTGACAGCTTTAAAAGTATTGGGAAATAGTTCATTATGAGCATTGGGAAGCAGTGAGATATATATATATATGTATAGATATAGATATATATATATATCAATCTTAGAGTACATATTTAAATCTAAGATTCTTAAAAAGAACCAGAATCAGATCTGGGTTTCAAATCTGGTTCTGGCTGACTCCATAATCATACCTCTATTCAAATATGTCCTGATCATTCGTAGAGCCATGGTCTGGGAGCCAGGATTGTAGTCAGTGACTAAGTACTTTCCTAGCGTGACAAAGGCCCTAACTTCTGTCTCAGCACTGTTAATAAGTAGTCAGTCTTCACATGTGCAGTTGTCAAAGAATTAATTTGAAATAGTATCAAAAAAATTGCCTATGGAAGTGTCTGTAGAATAATTTTTTTTCATTTATTTTTGTAGAATGGTAGTCGAAGAAGAACACCTGGTGGGGTTTTCCTGAATCTCCTGAAAAACACTCCTAGCATCAGTGAAGAACAAATTAAGGTAATGACAATGACTGTGTCCCAGGCTTTATGATGCATCAAAAAGCCAGATTTTGGGCACACATTTGTAATCCCAACACCCAGAAGCAGAGACAGGAGAATTGCTGCATCCCAGGAAAGATCCTATTTCAAAAGATAAAGGAGAGCCAGGCTTGATAGTACATGCCTTTAATCCCAGCACTTGGGTAGAGGCAGGAGAAGCCAGACAGAGCTACATAAAGATCTTGTCTCAGAAAGAGGAGAAAAAAAGATGCATAGTTCTTTTTGAACTCTACTAAGCCTCCTTTTCTTTCTGTTTTGTTTGTTTTGTTTTTGAGACAGGGTTTCTCTGTAATAGTCTTGGCTGTCCTGAAACTCAATTTGTAGACCAGGCTGGCCTCATACTCACAGAGATCTGCCTTCCTCTGCCTCTGTCGCCCAAGTGCAGGGTTTAAAGACGTGTACCACCACTGCCTGGCTAGTCTAGCTTTTTGAGAATCAGTTTTAAGAACATGAGTAGGGCTGACAAGAGGGCTCAGTGACTAAAAGAGCTGGCCAGCAAGGCATACAACCTGAGTTTAGTCCTAGGACACACATGGTGGAACTGCAGAACTGACCTACCTACCACAGCACACATGTGCACAGCATGCACACACACAAATGTAATGAAAAAATTTTACAGGTGCAATAGAAGTGAATTTGAGAACTAGGGTATAGTAGTGTAGCATGTGCTTAGTATGCACAAAAACCCAAGTTCAATAAAGAAAAGATTGAATTTCTTAAATGTCAAATGTAAGGCTGACTAGATGTCTCCAATGGTAAAAGCATTTGCCATTCCACATATATGCTATCCACATGATACTGCAACTACTCCTTTAATTGCCACATTGATGAGAGTCATTTGGAAGCCAAAACCAGGCTTGCTGAGTAGGGCTTTCTGTTTTGTTTTGGCTTTTTGTTAGTTTGGTTTGGTTTACATTGTGGATGGGAGTGTACGTATGCCATAGCATTTGTGTGGAGATGAGAGGACAGCTGGTGTGAGGAGTTTCTTTCCAGCACGTTGGTCCTGGTGTGTGGTGATATTTATTATTTATTAAAGCTTGACTAAGCCTACAGAAAGCAAAGCAGCTGAGCCATTAGCTCTGACCTCTACCTGAGGTTGAAAGGGCTGATCTGCTGGGCGTTGGTGGCGCACGCCTTTAATCCCAACACTCAGGAGGCAGAGGCAGGCGGATCTCTGTGAGTTCGAGACCCGCCTGGGCTACAAAAGCTGGTTCCAGGACAGTCTCCAAAGCCACAGAGAAACCCTGCCTCAAAAAACCAAAAAAAAAGAAAAGAAAGGGCTGATCTTATCTCCATGAGTTCTCCACCAAGCCTTTCCTCAGCATGGCTAGAGATTAAATCTCAGGATGCAGCCTGAGACACTGGGCTCCTGTCTTTTATATACTTCTCTAGGGCTGGGATTAAAGGTATGAGTGATTGAATTGCTCATCGGGATTGGTATCCACTGAGGTATCTCCCCAGCCTGCTTTCCTCTACCTCTTTTCCTTCATCCCTCCCTTTTTCTTTCTCTTTTGTTTTCTTTGGGGTTTTTGCTTATTGCTTATCCTTATTTGGGAACCTTTAATACTTCAGTGTAGAAAATAGAAAATATAAAGGAGTCAGAGGCAGGCAGATGTCTGAGAATTTGAGGCTGTTAGGACTATATAGTAAAATCCCATCTCAAAAGTAAAAGAGGAATAAGTGTGCATGCATGTGTTCATGTTTGGGGTGGGGGGGAAGTAATAGTTTGTTTTTGAGACAGGGGTCTCACTGTGTAACCTTGACTGGCCTGTGCTTCCTGGGTGCTGAATGATCCACCCACAGTTTCCTTATAATGAGACTTGCAATGTTTGTTGGGAAAGGGAATTCAAAACCATTTACTGCATTGCCAAACATTAGTGTTTTGTTGTTGTTTTTGTTTTGTTTTTTAGATCCAGATGTTTAATAAATTAAAGTAAAAATGCATTTTACCTCTGGAAACCACCATGTAGTTTTAAGGATTACAGGATTACATACCTGCAATCTCAGCATTTGGGAGGCAGGGGCAGGAGGATCCTCACAATCTGAGGCCAGCCTGATCTACATAGTGAGTTCCAGGCTAGCCATGGCAGTATAGTGAGACTGTTTCCTAACAAGCATATATTTATTTGTATTGATTTTCCTCCTCAAAAATCATTTTGGCCCTTCACAATTTGGGATGGGGTAGCTATATACTACCTGTAGTGGGTAAAGGCTACATACCCAGCCTAGGAACTCAGTAGTGCCAGTGTTAAGAAGCACTGTGCTCCTCAGTTTTGTTTTTATTTTATATGTGTGTGAGTGTTTGCCTGCATGTATGTACATACCATTTGTGTACAGTGCTCTCAGCCCTAGGGGGAGGGTTAGATCTCCTGAAACTGGAGTTACAGGTAGTTGTAAGCCAACTAGTGGTGTTGGGAACTGAACCCAGGTCCTCTAGAAAAGCAGCAAGTACTCTTAACTGCCATCTTTCCAGCCCCTGCAATAATATTTTTTATAAGAGATGGAATTATTACATTTTGCAAGTGGTATGTTCTTACATAGGTCAGTTTAATTTTGTAGCACAGGTAGTCATATATAGTTAGGATGTTTCAAAGTTAGTACATCTTTAATCTGGTTTTTTTTTTTTTTTTTTTTTTTTGGTGTGTGTGTGTGTGTGTGTGTGTGTGTGTGTGTGTGTGTGTGTGTGTGTGTGTGTGTGTGTGTTATCAGTTATAGTTTAAGTTCTAAGCAAAATTTCCCTGTGGTAGTTCCTCTTTTAGCAAACGGATGTGTGGGCCGATGTGTTAGGGTAGAATAAGCATGGTCTATCTGACAGTAGATTGTTTTGACTATAGTAGTTGACACTTAATATCATGAACTCTGTTCTGGTAATGGGATCACTAGTACTTCTTTTGTGTGTGTGTGTGTGAGTAGATGATTATAAAAGGCCTCCCTCATTATATAACAAATAATATGGAATGGTTTTTTTGCTTGTTATTTTTAGCCAAAGTTCTTTTTATTTCAGGACATTTTCTACATTGAAAATCAAAAGGAATATGAAAATAAAAAAGCTGCTAGAAAAAGAAGAACACAGCTATTGGGGAAAAAAATGAAACAAGCTATTAAAAGTCTGAATTTTCAAGAAGATGATGATACATCACGAGAAACTTTTGCAAGTGACACTAATGAGGCCCTGGCCTCTCTTGATGAAGCCCAGGAAGGACCTAGCGAAACCAAGCTGGATGCTGAGGAAGCCATCGAGGTGGACCATCCTCAGGATTTGGACATCTTTTAGGCATATTTTGAACATTTTGAAGAATAGACCTTTGTAAAAACAATAGTTTCCGTTTCTACTGAGGTTGCTGTATGCACTGAATCTGGAGAAAGGAAAGCTGTTTTTGTTTCTTGTTTGAAGTAAAAATTGTATGTGGGCAGTCAGATGCCACTGGCAGCAGTGTCTGACAGGTGTACAGCATGGTTTTTGGTTTTGTTTTTGTTTTGTTTTGTTTTGTTTTTGTTTTGTTTTGTTTTTTTTTGGTTTTTGGTTTTTGGAGACAGGGTTTCTCTGTGTAGTTTTGGAGCCTATCCTGGCACTCGCTCTGGAGACCAGGCTGGCCTCGAACTCACAGAGATCCGTCTGCCTCTGCCTCCCCAGTGCTGGGATCAAAGGCGTGCACCACCAACGCCCGGCCAGTATGAGTTTTAATTGCTCATTCTGCTGCATGTAGTGACTGTTAACGCCTAGTTCTACTTGCGCCTGCTCTGTTCAGCTCACTGTTTCATGCCATTAAGAAGCTTTTATTTTCTGGTTTGTCTTTGTGGTGAACTATGCTTTGGTTTTAACACATTCCATTAAAATATGCCATAATATGCATAAATTGCTCAAGCTCTTATATCCAATTGTTCCTATAGGGTGGGCAGGATCTTGGTATGGACTTACTCTTGCCTGAGTAGTGCTGAGATTATGAGTTTATGCCACCATGCTTTTACTCCTTTTTGGCAATTTTTAAAAATCTATTTATTATTGTGTGCATGAGAGAGAGATGGATGGAGGTGTGGGGGCCATGCATGTGACCACAGTGTGCATGTGGTGGTCAAAGGGCAATTTTGTGGAGTCAGGTATCTTTTCCCCTTTTAAGTGGGCTAAGGTTATAAGGCCTGCACCTCAAACATCTCTGTTTGCTGAAATATCTCACTAGCCCTTTCAAGCACTCTTGGAAACTTAACTCTATATGGAAGTTGCTTGCCATTTGTTGAAAGCAAATATTAGCAGCTTTTCTTTTTTTGAGATAGATTCTCAATATGTACCTCTGGCTGTCCTAGAACTCACTATGTAGACCAGGATGGCCTCAAATTCCCTATGTAGCCTCTTCCAAATGCTGAGATTACAGGTATACACCACCACACTTGGTTTATACAGTGTTCAAGATTGAATTTAAGGGCTGGAGAGATGGCTCAGAGTTTAAGAGCACTGCTGCTCTTCCAGAGGTCCTGAGTTTAATTCCCAGCAACCACAAGGTGGCTCACAACCATCTGTAATGAGATCTAGTGCCCTCTTCCCGCCTGCAGGTGTACATGCAGTCAGAAGAACACTGTATACATAGTAAATAAATCTTAAGGTTCAGTCATGCTAAGCAAATACCACCAACTGAACTATATCCTTAGGCTCTAGTCCAATATTTGTCAAATTGGAAATGTCTCCAAGTGTTCTCATTTTTTTATTATTATTATTATTTTTTTTATTAGTTCAAGTTAGGGAACAAACTTGTTTCAAATGTAAGTCCCTTCTCCCTCTCCCTCCCGTGTTCTCATTTTTTAATCGATGATAATTTTTTTCACAGAGGCATACACTAAAAATAGCTCTGAGCTGCATACTCTTAGCTTCTAAGGGTTGCTGTGGTGTTAGCAGGACAATTGTTACATCAACGGCTGCAGTTTCAGAATTGGACTTTATGAGGTTCTAGGTGAGAATTCTGTCATTGCTGCCAGTGATGGCTTTGGAAAAAGATGCCTGTCCTGCTTTACAGAAAGTGGAAAACAGCAGCGCAGCAGGGAACACATCTAAGCCTGCCAATAAGTGAGAATCTCAGGGTCTGGGCAAGTGGTTCCTTGTGTTGTATTAGACAGTACAGGGCCTCACACAAGCTAGGCAAGTGATCTACTATTGAGCTTCACCAGCCTCCCCCATTACACCCCCAGACATGGTCTCATGTAATCAAAGCTGGCTTTGACTTATATAGCGGAGAATGACCTTGGACTCTTGATCTGCCGCTACCTCCAGAGTGCTAGGGATACTGGTATGCACCACTAAGAAGCGGTAGAGATGGGACCCAAGTTTTACCCATGCTAGGCAAGGTAGAGAGACCACCTAAACAGCATCCCCTGTCCTTGTCAGCCCCATAATGTTACTTTTCTGGGTTTGTTTTTTAGAATATGTATTATGTATTTATTATGCATATTATGCAGATGGTTGTGAGCCACCGTGTGGTTGCTGGGAATTGAACTCAGGACCTCCGGCAGAGCAACCAGTGCTCTTAACCACTGAACCATCTCTCCAGCCCTGTTTTGTTTTTTGTTTTTGTTTTTGTTTTTTTAATTTAAAAAAATCATTACTTATATGTATGTGTGTGTGTGCATGGATTTATGGGCAAGCACAGTGTATATATGTGGTGTGTGTTTGTGTCCTTGGAGGCCAGGAAAGGGTATCAGATTTGGAGGGAACTGGAACCACAGGCAGTTGTGAGCAGCCCCATGTGGGTGCTGGAACTGAACCCCTGTCCTCATGACTGTCCTCAAGTGCTGTTAACTGCCCAGCCATGCCATCTCTGCTGCAGCCTAAGTTTTTTTTTTTTTTTTTTTTAAATTGAAAGTAGATTCTTCTCTCATACAATACACTCTGACCACAGTTTCCTTTCCCTCCACTTCTAATGCCCCCTTCCTCCCCTCTCCCCCAGATTTTTTTTATTTTTACTCCTCTATTTACTCTTAAGAAAAGAGCAAGGCTCCAAGAGAGGACAGCCTAAGAGGACAAAACATGATACAGTAAGACAAGGCAAAACTCTCATATCAAGGCTGAACAAAGCAACCCAATAGGAGGAAAAGAGTCTCAAGAGCAGGCAAAATAGTCAGAGACACACCTGCTCTTACTGTTAGCAGTCGTAAAAACACCAAGTTAACAGCCATAACATATACAGAGTACCTGGTGTAGAACCATGTAGGCCTTGTGCTTGCCAGTTCAGTCTGAGCCCTGCTTAGTTGAGTTGGTGGGCCACGTTCACGTGGTGTTTTCCATGCCCTCTGACTCAATCTTTCCTCCCGCTTCTGAGATAGTGTATGTATGCTTAAATTCCCCGTGCTGGTGTGGAGTTTGTGATGCCTCTGTCTCTGCCTCCCAAATAGCTGGGATTACAGATGTCCACCACAAACTCTTGGTGAGTCCTGGGTTTTCTGTTGCCCATGTGTTGTTCAGTCTAGGACATAGAAGAGTACAGTAAATTTGAGTTTTGTCTTAGCTACTTTTCTTAGCTACTTTCTTAGCTACATGTGAAGAGACACCATGGTCAAGGCAATTAACATATAGAAAAGTTAATAAGAAGCTCAAGGTGTCAGAGGGTTAGTCCATGATCATGTTGGAGAGCATAGCACAGGTTCACTTTTTTTTAAAGATTTTATTTATTATGTATACAATCTTTTGCCTGCACGCCAGCAGAGGGCACCAGATCTCATTCAAGGTGGTTGTGAGCCACCATGTGGTTGCTGGGAATTGAACTCAGGACATCTGGAAGAACAGTCAGTGCTCTTAACTGTTGAGCCACAGGTTCACTCTTAAAACCAGACTAGGGGCTGGAGGGATAGCTCAGTGGTTCAGAGCACCAGCTTGTTCTTCCAAAGGACCAGAGTTCAGTTCCTAGCACCCACATTGAGAGCTCACAACTGCCTCTAGTTCCAGCCCAGGGGGCTCTAATGCCCACTCTGGCCTTTGAAAGGCATCCTTGCACACACATACACACACACTCCAAATAAAAATAAAAATTCAGGTGGTATGTACATGTGTAGTTGGAGTACTCATACCTAGCCCTAACTTGATCTTGGTGATACTTGGATTTGTTTATTTTGTGGAAGGGTCTCCGCCTAGCCCTAGCTGGCCCAGTATTCAATATGTAGAGTAGGATGGTCTCCACAGCAATCCTCTAGCTCCCCAACTGCTGGGATTAAAGGCCTGAGCTACCACACCCAGCTGGCTGGCTGGCTGTTTGATGAACCTCAGTAGCATAGCTCTCTGTCCTGCAGCTGTAGGATGTGATAAACACAACTGCATCCATTTCTTAGAGCAGTGATTCTCAACCTTCCTAATGCTGCGATCCTTTAATACAGTTCCTCATGTTGTGGTCACCCCTAACCATAACGTTATTTTTGTTGCTACTTCATAACTATAACTTTGCTACTGTTACGAATCGTGATATAAATGTGTTTTCCAATGGTCGTAAGTGACCCCTGTGAAAGGGTTGTTTGCACACACACACCCCGCCCCGCCCCAAAGCATCATGGCCCACAGGTTGAGAACTGTTGTCGTAGAATGATGTGGACACAACTTGACAAAATCTCCTTTCTCCTTTCCTAATCTTCAGGTGTGAGGAAATTCACTTACCACGGTTCTCACTAAAGCAAGGCATGATCCCAACACGTTACGTTATGCCTTGGAAAGAAAACATGAAATTCAGGAATGTGAATCTGAAGGTATTTTCTCACAAATATTCAGGTTAAAGGCTGCCTGTGGCTGGTAGAGAGGAAGGTGTTTTCATGACAGTCTGAGGCTGACCTGTGACCCACAGGCTGGAAGGAGAAACCTGATTCCTGCAAGAGGCCCTTTGGCCTGCTCACACACGCATGCTCACATGTGCCCACACATGCTCACTAAATAATCTAAACATGATAATAAAATAGAAGCAATTTAGTATACTGTCTAAGGCATATATAACTCTGCAAAAAATACTCTCTAAGGCATATATAACTCTGCAAAAAAAAAAAACTATGTATTTTCACATATACTCATAAAAATAACCCACTTAAAATGGCCACATGATAGCAATTGAGGCCACATACACTCAACACAGGTGTCATGACTAGCAAAGCTGCAGTACAGGAGCTACGTTTTCAGATTGTGACAAATATTCAGAGAACCAGGGAAACAGCTGGGCTGGATCTACAGGTAAGACTCCTCCACTCAGTGCTGTTAGCCAATTCTTTCCTCTCTCTTTTCTTCCCTCCCTCTTTCTTTCTCTCTTCCCCTCCTCCTCTTCCTCCTCCTTCTCACCACTCCCTCTCAAATTCTCAACTCTGGAGCCAGATTCTCCTAGGTCTCACTATATAGCCCAAGCTGGCTTTGAACTTCTGGCTATCTGAAGTGTGATCCTAGTTAGTCTTAATATGAAATCCTAGAGTCAGATAGCAGGGTAGAAGCCGAAAGATCAGAGAGGTAAAAGGCCAGCCACAGTCACCTCTTACTTTTCCGACTCCTCAGACCAAAAAGGGCCAAGCTCCTGTCTATGCCCCACCTTATCACTTCCTCTCTTTGCTCAGCCATATCATTTCCTGTCTGTCGGTACAGATCTCAACTCTATGGTTAACTCTAGCTCCACCCTCTGATCTCCAGGCAAGCTTTGTCAGAACACAAACAAAATATCACAACAGCTATCCTTCTGCTTCAGTTTCCCCAGTGCTAGGATTAAAGACAGGAGCCACCATACCTATCTAGTAAGTTATTTCTTTGAAGAGTTAGAATGTATTATAATAATTTGAAATTTTCAAAAGAATAAATAGCTACTATTGAATAAGAATGTTTTGGCATGACAAAAAGAAGTCTTAGAAATTATAAATATTTACATAGGGTAAAATAAATTTTAAAACATGGCTCAATTGCTGGGCGGTGATGGCACACGCCTTTAATCCCAGCACTTAGGAGGCAAAAACAGGTGGATCTCTGAGTTCAAGGCCAGTCTGGTCTACTTCGAGAATTTCAAGACAACCTCCAAAGCTACAGAGACACCAGTCTCAAAAAACAAAACAAACTGGGGGGCTGTTTGCTTTGCTTTGGTTTGTTTGTTGATTTTTGAGACAGCATTTCTCTGTGTAGCCCTAACCATCCTGCCTAACTCTGCCTCCTGAGTGCTAGAATTAAAGGCATGTACCACCACTGCCCAGCCTGGGATATGTGTTTTTGCTTAATACAAAACAAAACACTAAAGAAATTAAAACCCAGGTATGAAATACCAGTCTACATACACTTATTATTGACTTTCTTCGATTTTGTTTTTTTTTTTTTGTGTGTGTGTGTGAGAGAGAGAGAGAGAGAGAGAGTGGGAGAGAGAGAGAGAGAGAGAGAGAGAGAGAGAGAGAGAGAGAGAGGATGAGAGAGAATTGTATATGTATGCCTGGCTGTCCTGGAATTTGCTTATAGACAAGGCTGGCCTCGAACTCAGATCCTCTTAACTCTGCCTCCCAAATGCTGGGATTAAATGTGTGTACCACCATAACTAGCTTTTCTTCCATCTTAATATTGGGATCTATTTTATAGAATTTGATGGCTTAATAAATAGCATTGCAGGGGCTAGAGAGATGGCTCAACAGGATAAGAGCACTGGCTGCTCTTCTAGAGGAACTGGGTTCAATTCCCGGAACCCACATGGCAGCTCACAACTGTCAGTAACTCCAGTTCCAGGGCATCCAACATCCTCACACAGAATATATACAGGCAAAACACCAGTGTACATTAAATAAATAAATGTTTTTGTTTTTGTTTTTTGTTTTGTTTTTTGAGACAGAGTTTCTCTTTGTAGCTTTGGAACCTCTCCTGGTACTAGCTCAGGCTGGCCTGGAGCTCAGGAAGCTCCTCCTGTCTCTGCCTCCCAAGTGCTGGGATTAAAGGCATGTGCCACCACTGCCTGGCTTAAGTAAATAAATAAATCTAGAAAAGAAAAGAAAAGAAAAGAAAAAAGTCTTTAAACCCAAAATGAAAATGACATCTGGTGCTGTTCAGCAGTGTTTTCTCTCTTAGCAAGCAGAAGCATGTGGGATCTATGCTGGCCCCTTGGAAGATTCTCTGTTCTGGGGTTACAGGGAGCGGCTTTGCCATGGGGAAGATCGGAAAGCCGTCCTGAAGAAAGGCCTGCCGGACATAAAGATTGCCGACATTCCTTTGCATTCCCCTCTCTCCAAATACCAGAGCACTGTGATCTCCCATGGCTTCAGGAGACGACTGATTTGATGTATCAACCTGGGGGGTAGCGGTGTGCTTGCCTAATGTACAACAGACTTAGGGTAAAAATCCCATTACTACTAAAAAGAATAAAACAATAAAGTAGTTCAGTCACTTGCCCTGTCTCAGTTCGGGTGCTTAAGTTCATTGCATTTTGCTTAAAAGTTTGTTTTATGATTATAAGTCAATAGCATAATACAGAGATCTTTGAAGGTTTAGAAAGGGCATCAGTGTGTAGGCTATCTGAGGTGGAGTGGGAGAGGAAGAAAACTACTTATATGTGGATAAAGAGCAATAGATAGATCCAGCCCTGCTGTCCCAGTTACCGTGAGTCCATAGGTTCAACTAAATTGCTGTGTCCGGGTGGTGATGGCTGCACTCTGTTACTCCCAGCACTGGGGAAGCAGAGGCAGCTTTGTGCTTGACTCTCATTGGGTCTCTTAATTCTGCTGCAGTCCCTCTAACTCCTTGTGGCCATTCCATAACACACTTGTGCACATACACACAGCGGGGAGGGGCAGGGAGAGAAGGGGGGAATCTGCTGTGTGATTTCTGCTGTGTGACCCAGAGTTAACCTTAGCTGTTAAGACTGGAATAAAAGAACCTGTGTCTGCCAACACTGCTGTCAAGGGAAGCTGGGACTATTTGACAAGCTAGAGCAGATGAAACCAACATGGCTTTAGAGTTTGTTGTTTTATAAATTCTGACATTGTGGGAAAGCACAGACATGTCTGTGTTTGTAACATCATACTCGTGATAACTGTCATTCTGTCCCATAATTCAGTCCAAAACTTAAGAAATAGCTGGAGAGGGGCTGGAGAGATGGCTCAGTGGTTAAGAGCACTGCCTGTGCTTCCAAAGGTTCTGAGTTCAATTCGCAGCAACCACATGGTGGCTCACAACCATCTGTAATGAAATCTGGTCCCATCTTCTGGCCTGCAGGGATACATGTAGGCAGAACACTGTGTACATAGTAAATAAATAAATCTGAAAAAAGAAAAAAGAAAAAAGAAGTAGCTGGAGAAGTTGGATGGTGGTGGTGTGCATCTTTAATTCCAGCACTCGGGAGACAGAGGGAGATAGATCTCTTGAGTTCAAGGCCAGCCTGGTCTACAGAGCAAGTTCCAGGCCAGGGCTACACAGGAAAGCCCTGTGTTGGGAAAAAAATAAGTTATCTGGAATTCCCTACAGAGGACTTACTTTCTACATCCCCTTGATAGCCTGTCTATACATTTATATAAATTACATTAAGAAACGAAGAGGTTAGTGACCCTGAGTTTAGATTTTTTAAGTAAATTTTTCACTGATAATCACTACCTTGCCTTTAAAACTGATCTGAACTGATTAACCCACTTCTCTAGAGCAAGCTTTCCTGCCCCTGCTGAGAATCAATCCAGTACTCTCTGCCATTGACTACAAAAGCAAATTCAGCTGAAATAGGGAAAGCAAAGCCTCAGTGTCAACTTTGGAGATAGCCTTTACATTTATGCCACTCAACTAGTGTTCAAAACTTCAGAAATAAATGAAGCCCAGATAATTTTACAGGGGTGAGGAATGGGAAGGAACTCCATAGGACATCTTAAGGAGCCCAAGACCTCTGTGAAGGGATACCTTGAGTCTGGGAGCCGATGTGAGTCAGAATCTTCATATATTTCTAGGACTAGGGAGGAAAAACTATTGAGTTGAAATGAGCAGTGGACACACAGAGACCTCTGAATACATTGCTCACAGCTGGAGGTATTAACATACTGTGGTTTGGGTCCTCTCATCCCCCCAAGGGTTCATGTGTTTGTGTAGAAGTCTGGTCCCCACAGCATCAGTGGCAAGTGATGAAGCATAATGTGAGTCTTGGGTAGTTGGGTGTGCACCCTCGGAAGAGACTAAGATAGCACTTGTGGGACTCCTTAGCTGTTTCTTATGAGGGTAAGAACCCTTGAATCACTCCAGTCCCCTGGTTGGTTGTTGATGCTGTTGCTTTCACTATCAGGGCTAAACTCTAGGGCCTTCCTCATGGTAGGCCTGTTTTTGGATATCATCTCACTCTTGGTCATGCTCAGATTATGAAGCCACTTACCTGAAGCTGAACCAGTTCGTCTACCCTGTCTTACTTTCAGCCTTCAAATGACAAGTTTCGCCAAAGAGTTCTTTCTTTCTCCCTCTTCCTCAGTGTTGGAATGCTGGGCTAGTGCTCAACCACTGAGCTATGACCCCAGCCTAAGCTTTGCTTTCCCCAAGACACGGTCTCACTGTACAGACCAAGCTGGCCTCTCACAGAGCTCTGCCTCTCCAGTGCTAGGATCAAAGGTATGTGCCATCACACCTGATTCAACCCTTTCTTTATAAATGTATCTATCTGTAGACATACTCTATAGTAACCAGAAGAGTCTAATAACTTACTTACTCTCTGTGAAGTCTGACTCGGAGACAGTGATTCTATGACATCGAGTTTTCTGTCAGTTACGGTTTGAATCTGAAATGCCCTTATGGTTTGAAAGAAAATGACCCCCAAAGAGAGTGGCACTATTAGGAGGTGTGGTCTTGTTGGAGGAAGTGTCACTATGGCAGACGGGCTTTGAGGTCTCTCTCAAGTTTCTCTCAGTGTGACCATCAGATGACTTCCTGTTGCCCCTGAGTCAAGATGTAGCCCTCTCAGCTCCAGCAGCACACCTGCCTGCACAATGCCATGCTCCCCATCCTGCTGATAACGGACTGAACCTCTGAAATGATAAGCTGCCACCCCAATCAAATATTTTCTTTGTAAGAACTGCCATGGTCATGGTGTCTCTTCACAGCAATAGAAACCCAAACTAAGACAGTTCTCCCCAGGAAAAATGTTTAAACACTTGATCTCAGTTGATGGAGCTATTTTTGGAAGTTCTGGAAACCTTAGGAGCAGGACTTAGAGGAAGTAGGTCACTGGGGATGTACCTGTGAAAATTTTATCTGGGCCACGGTCCTTTCTTCTTTTTCTAGTTCCTCCACACCTCTTGCTACCACGATGCTCTGCCAGAGTTCCTGGGCTAAGAGACATGGGCCAAACTCTCTGAAACCATGAGCCCAAATACATCTTTGTCCATTAAACTGTTCTCTCGGGTATGTTAGTCTAGTCACAATTGTACAAGAGTAACGAACTCTTCATCCCACTTGGTTTTCCTTCTGTTTCTGTGAATGCTGAGTTATTTTCCAGTGAGTGTCCCTTTCAGACTGCCCCTTGCTTAATTTTATGCTCAACTCCTTTTGGTGCTTCCCTCCTCCATGATGGGTTAGTTTGAGTTTGTGATTTCCCTCCCAATAGAACCCTAATACATGAGGAATCTTAGTCCGGGGGTGGGGATCCAAACTGCCTGTGGGTATACATCTTCTATACTAAAATCCCTGGTGATTGTCATTGACCAGCAATGACTAGTTTCTGTCCATCTGGGGGGCCTTGAGAACCAGCTATGCAGGCATAGTCCATAGAGCAGGAGATGGTAGGCAGAAAGGTGAGCAATGGCTTGAGTTGAAATAGTTTTGTTTGCACTTCTCTGCATTCTCTGGGCTCTGACAAGAGGGGAGTCCATGTATTCTGCAAATAATGTGGGGAATATACGTGCCAGAACACTGAAGGATGAGGCCAGTTTACCTGTTTTGTTGTTGTTAGTGTACGTGTGTATGTGTGTGCACACTCCGGCATGTGTGAATAATAACAATGTATACAACTAAAAACAATACTAGAAGCCAGAACACCAAAATGGTCCCAATGCTAGTATTCTGGGTGTGGTGATGATGTCACTGGTGATGATGGTGATGATAATTTTGGTCTTCTGACACAAAAAGATGATTTTGATCTCTGTAGACTAGACTAGCCTAGAACCTCGGAGTTCTGGGAGTATAGGCAAGTACAAACATGTATTTCACCAACAGAAGCTCTTCCTTGGGTGGGACATACTCTTCCCTCTGTCTTGTTATCACAGTTCCAAAACCAGCACAAATGCCAACTCCTCTGGGCCGCTGTTTCGTACTCAACTCCACGTTCAACTCTCCGTACCTCAAAGTTCCACCATTGTGCTCTTAGTTCATCAGCTGGACCAGAAGAGGGCTCTGTTGCATCATGTAAACTGCAATTTGATTTCTGAAGGGAGAATGCAGGGGGAGTGGATCTGAGGGAGAGAGGAGGTAGCTGGGAGGACTGAAGGGAGAGGAGAGTGTGCTCAGGATGTATTGTATGAGAGAAAAATCTATTTTCAAAAACAACAATTCTTTTAAAGGAAAAGAACACAAAACCTTGCATAATGGAGAAAAGAGAAGCTACCTACCTGAGAAGCTAATGGCAGTTGGTGACTGCTGAGGGAGGGAGGGTCATTTTTTTTGCGATGGTAGGTTGGCCAAGTCCCAGTGGACAATCACATGTGCCGTGCCTATATGGGCAGCACTAATTGAACTTAGCGGGCTATTGATAAAAAGGCATGAAGCTGGAGAAAGATGGGGACTATGTTGGAAAGGGATGATGGAGGGATGAAGGCGGGGATGAGTATGACCAACATGCATTGCACACATGTATAAAATCATCAAGGATTTAAAAATAAATGTAAATTTTGGGGGGAGTTCGAGACAGGGTTTCTCTGTAGCTTTGGAGGCTGTCCTGGAACTAGCTGTTGTAGACCAGGCTGGTCTCGAACTCACAGAGATCTGGCTGCCTCTGCCTCCTGAGTACTGGGTAAATGTAAATTTTTAACAAATTTTAAAAACGCAATTTGAAATTTGTTTTTACATTTTGAGAAAATTCTTTGGCAATTTTACACACGTTTATACTGTTTTTGATCCTATTCTTCCCCCATTACCCTTTCTTATTCCCTCCCCTTGGAACCCCTATTCCCAAAGTCCCTACTATATTCATGTCTTAAATTTATTTATTTTTATTTAGTTAGTTAGTTTTGGTTTTTTGAGACAGGATTTCTCTGTGTAACAGCCCTAGCTGTCCTGAAACTTGCTCTGTAGACCAGGCTGGCCTCGAACTCACAGAGATCCGACTGCCTTTGCCTCCCGAGTGCTGGGATTAAAGGCGTGCACCACTAACACCTGGCTTCATACATCACTTTCTCATGACTGTGTTATCTTTGTTTTACTACAG